TGCTCTCTTCTTATTCTTCTCATGTGATTTTTGACCATAGTTCAATTTGATTGCAATGCTTGGAGTTTCTTTTCTGCTGTGCATTGAAAGGATGTTAGGGTATACTTGGTTGGCAAATAAACGTATGTTTAAAAGTACATGAATATCTGGTAGAAATTCACTAGCTAAATTCCTATTTAATATGCATGACTTTTCTGATGTGTCCTGGGACTTTCCTAGAAAAAATATTGTTCATCACATATGACTGTCATGGTGAGCAAAATTTTTAACTAGAGAAGAAGTGTTATTGCTAATCAGAAGAGACATAGGAGACCTTTAATGTAAATTACCATTTCTTACTAGCATTCAATGAGAAATTTTCAATCTAATGTCAGGTTCTATGTGACGGAACGTTATAAAAAATTAACACCTGAATATTAAAATTTCAGAACTCAATATGTAATTTATACTTCAGAGAATGTCATCTTGTGTTTTATGGGGTTTCTCCCTATACTTACACATTTAATGTATTTTTAGGTGCATAGGGTCCAATTCTATCATTTACAATGTACCTGGGGTCCTGTGCACCCACACAGAGTTCAACTGAAGTTAATGGGGCTCTGTATGGGTGCAGGAGTCCATCCATCTGTTCTACACTGCAGGATCAGGACCATATTCTGTTCTAGGCTGCATAAAATGTACATTATTTCACCAAAAATAAGTTGTAAACTTTAGATTATACAGTTCAAATATTTTTGGTTTTCTTTTTATTTGAAAGACAGTATGATTCACTATTTGTCAAATATAGCTTAAGAAAGGTTTCAGAGGAACAGCCGTGTTAGTCTGTATTCGCAAAAAGAAAAGGAGTACTTGTGGCACCTTAGAGACTAACCAATTTATTTGAGCATGAGCTTTCGTGAGCTACAGCTCAGCTGTACTCCTTTTCTTATAGCTTAAGAAAGTAATCACACTATTCAAATCAGTTGAAATGTTTTTTCTTCTTGGGATTCAACTAGCTTTGGTTATTTGAGTAATGTACAGTAAATACTACTGATTATTTTCTTAAATATGTTCTGTTCATTACCCACTTCTGCATAGTTCTTTAGCTTGGATGGAGTGTGCTTCAAGTAAAGTACCCAGGATGAAATCCAGGCCTTACTGAAGTCAATGGGAGCTTTGCCATTGATTTCAATAGGAACAGAATTTCACCTATTCAATTTGAACCACTGAATCAAATCAATTATATATCTTTTGGGGGGCAGAGAATTAGAAGGCCTAGTCATATATTGGTCCTTCTTCAACAGGGCAGGATTTCACCACAAAAAGATAACAGTTGAACAGAATAATTTGAAATTGCTAGTAGACTGAGGTATTAATTCTGTGTTTGTTGCTGTTTTGTTTTCATACCTGTATAAAACAAAATTCCAAATAAGAATAGAATTTAGTCATTAGGAAGTTATGAAGCTAAGCATAGATTTATTTGTACTCAACTGTTTTGCTGGAAGAGAATGAGAGAGTTTGAGTTCACTATTTAATTTCTGTAACTATATAGTTCCTTGTCATTAAATTACAGGGTATTATAGCCATTATGGGTAGTAAGGGGACAGTGAAGCGAAGGTAATCAATGTTCTTCCTGAAATCTATGGAAGCCAAACCCCCTATCATTTAACTATAATGATTCTCTGTGAACCATATTATTATTAGATATAGAAGCCTGTAACAGGCTTATCAACTTTAGTATTTACGTTCTTATTACCATGCCACATTTGAGATCGCAGTAGGAAAGTACAGAATAAACATCTTTTCTTTACCTCTAAGAACATGAACAGAAGTAACAAAATCAACCATCCAAATTTTGAGAGCTGAGGGTAGGATCCAGTTACGTGTGGTTAGAAAGACCAAAAAACATTAGAGAGGAGGAAACCTAGTAAATAAACAGAAGTGAGGAGCCAAAGACAAAATGGGACTGAGAAAGTTGAACAGAATATATGTTATTAAATATAACTGTGCTCCTACAATGTACATAGACTATACACAAATTGTTCTAAAAGGATTAACCAATACAAGGAAATACATGAGACATAACAAAGATGGACTATTAAGGGCTGCAGAGAAAAAGAAGTGGAATTTCTCTGTCACAATGTCTGGAGTGGTTCATGACAGGGAATGCCATCCTCAGAGCTGACTGTCAAAAAGCAGGGAAGTGTTGTAGGTGGGTGAGGTAATATCTTTTAATGGACTAATTTATCCTGGTGAAAGAGAGACGCTTTCGAGCTTACACAGAGCTGTTCTTCAGTGTAAGCTTGTCTCTTTCACCAGCAGAAGCTGGTTCATTAAACTATATTGCCTCACCCACCTTATCTCTCTGAAAAGCAGGGCAGACATTCCAAATTGGCTGTATATTCTAGAATTAGATTTCACCAACCCAGTAATACGTGTGAACTCGTGAAGCACTACAACAGTCTTAACACTGAGTACAGACATTCCCTTTGGGCATTCCAGTCTGTCTTGCCACCCAAGCTAACTGGACTTAGTGATAGCTGGTTGAAATACATCAAAGATCACTTATCCCAGGTCAATTTGTACCTCAGATCTTGCATCAAATACACTGGTTGTAGCCAATCCTACAGGGAATTAACTAAGGATTTATTAACTAGGGAAAAAAATGAGTGTGTTATTTACATGTTAAGGTAGCAACACATATACACAAATACACAAAGTTATAGCTGTAGTAATCTGTCATCACTGAATGTCTTTTAGGGCTAAGCCAGGTACCTCTGTTTCCAAGTACTTGCCCTGTGAGAGTCCAAACACCAACAGTTCAGGTCAGCTATCTTTATTTCCTTCCTCAGAATTCAGGCTGATGGGACAAGCTTTCTTGCATATAGCACCTTAATGGGTGTGAGAAGGCCATTAACTAAGTCTTTGTATCATGATTAAGGCTACGTTTTAGTCATGGGTATTTTTAGTAAAAGTAATGGACAAGTTATGGGCAGTAAACAAAAATTCATGGCCCATGACTTGTACTATAACCCCGGACTAAATCTTGGGTGCTCTGTGCCAGGAGGCACACTGGGGCACCATGGGTGCTCTGGGGCAGAGGGTTTCCTGGGGTGCTGCAAGTGCTCTGGGGGCAGCAGGCATACCAGAAGACAAGGGAGGCAAAGAGTCACTCTGGTTCTGAGCCACAGACATGTCGCTTCTATGAGGAGCTGCATTCGATTCTAGGTGGCGACCCCACCACTACCCCAAACGCTCCATGGATACCTCCCAGGAGCCCTGGGTAACCTTGGGCAACAATGAAGAGAACATTGTTGATGAGGAAGAGAAGGAGGAGGAGAATGCACAGCAGGCAAGCAGAGGATTCATTCTTCCTGATGGCCAAGAACTTTTTTTACCTCTGGAGCCCATCCCTTCACAGGACCAATTGTTGGCCGACCGTGATGCCAGGGAAGGCACCTCTGGTGAGTACACATTTTCAATCAAACTATAGGGGTTACACATGCTATTATTTTTATGTTGAATCTGAATTAAAAAAATTGGGATAGAAGTTATCAGCAGCTACTCCAGCTACGTAGAGGGTGCTCTCCAAAAAAGACTGTTTATGTGCCCAGGGATGGCTTGGGAATCCTACCTTGAGATCTCTAGGAAGCTTGCATGGAGATACTCTGCAATCCTTTGCAGAAGGTTTCTGGGAAGGACTGCCTTATTTCATCCACCATGGTAGGGCACTTTCCCGCGCCACTCCAGTATTAACTTTTCTGGAATCATTGTGGCATACAGCATTGCAGCATAAGGACCAGGTCTGTACCCAGATGCTTGCAGAATCTGCTCCCTTTCCGTCTCTGTTATATGATACTGTGTATGGTCTCCTATGGGAAATGGGGGGAGTTTTAAATGCTAGCCCTTAAACCGTAAGCAATTCGATAAGTAATCCACCCGTTTGTTGAATTCTGGGTCACACAACCACACTTTCCCGAGTGTGCCCTGATTGTAGTTGGAAGGGATCACTGCATACTGCAGCCAGCATTTTAAAAAAATGGGGAGGGACGACACTTCCTGTTTGTCTCCCTTCCACCCCAACCCAGTACCGCTTTTGTAACACAAACTATTTGTCGGGCTTTACACTGGTGCCTGTCCTCAAGCACCATCCAGGTTGCTATGGGAAAGGGGGTTGTGCTGAGGTTACAGCCATTGATCCCAAGGATGTTTTAACAAAGGCTGCAGCACAAGACCTCTCTCCCATGCCACGTGGCCTTACTTACCATGGCTATAGCAGCAAACCGACTCTTGCAATAGCCAGTGGTTGTGATTACATTGTGGTTTGCAGGGAAGTGCACTGAGAGGTGTTTCTTTTATAAAAAAGATTTAACCTTACACCAGAAACAATGTATGCACTGTCAATGCTACCCTTGTGCTTTGTATTTTTTGCAGCTGAAACCTTGTCAGAGACTTTCCCAGATTAGAAGGCAGAAAAAGAAGAATCGGGAAGACATGTTCAATGAGTTAGTGCGTGCCTCTGAGAGTGACAAGACAGAGCTCAGCACATGGAGAATTGCACTGTCGGAGAGCCTGCACAATGACTGCAAAGACAGAGCAGGGAACAAGAGCATGACATGCAGGATGAGATGGTGTGGATTATGAGGGAGCAAACAGACATGTTGAAGTGTCTGGTTGAAGTTCAAGAAAGGCAGCTGGATGCTAGAGCCCTGCTGCACCCTATGCCGGACCTGCTGCCATCATGGCCCATTTCTACATCCTCCTCTCCCAGACATCCTAGGATGTGTTGTGTTTATGTGGGGAGTCTGGTATCCCTTGCACTCAACTCCAGGGGAAGGTACAAGGACCAGAAGGCACCCATTCTCTCACCTTTGATTGTTATTGCAGTGCAATTGTAAGCAAGTGGTCCTTGTTTCTACCCTCCCCCCCACAAGTGTTATCAGCCCTTTTGCTCCAGTTTATCTTACTTTTCTTTGCTGTCTCTCAGTGTTTGTGAGCATAATAAAAATTAACGGATTGAGGAGAAAAGGCTCTTTATTCATTGAGCACACAGCGGTTAGCGGGGGTAGAGTTTACAGGGGAGTACACGCAATGAAGGGAACAGCTCAATAAGGAACAACACACACAAATGTCACATTACTGTGGGTCATTGATGAGACTACTTTTCAAAGTCTCACGAAGATGCGGCATGCCTCACTCTGCCCTTCCCGTTGCCCTGGTGTCTGACTGCTCAAAAATTGTCTGCCAGGTGATCTGCCTCCAACCCCCAGCCTGCCAGACACATTTTTCCCTTTGTTTCACAGATATTATGGAGCACACAGCACCAACAGTGGGAATATAGCTTTCACTGGGGTGTACTCTAATAAGCAAACTATGCCAGTGGGCTTCTAAATGTCCAAAGGCACATTCCGTCACCATTCTTCACTTGCTCACCCTATGGTTTAACTGCTCCTTACTGCTGTCCAGGCTGCCTGTGTATGGCTTCATAAGCCAGGGGAGCAAGGAGTAGGCTGGGTGTCCCAGGATCACGATTGGCATTTCAACATCACCAACGGTTATTTTGCAGTCTGGAAAGAAAGTTCCTGCTTGCAGATTTCTGAAAAGACCGGATTCCTAAAGCTGTGCGCATCATGCATCTTTTCCTGACCATCCTATGTTGGTGTTGGTGAAACAGCCCCTGTGATCCACCAGTACTTACAACACCATTGATAAGTACCCCTTTCAATTTATGTACTCTTTAGCAAGGTGGTCTGGTGCTAAGATAGGGATATGAGTTCCGTCTATCGTCCCACCACAGATACGGAACCCCATCACGGCAAAGCCATCCACTTTGACCTGCGTGTTTCCCAGAGTCACTACCCTTCTTAGCAGAAGTCTTTTGATTGTCCTGGCAACTTGGATCACAGCAGATCCCACGGTAGATTTACCCACTCCAAACTGATTCCCCACAGCAGCTGTCCGGCACTGCAAGCTTCCACAGAGCTATTGCCACTCACTTCTCAACTGTCAGAGAAACTCTCCTTTTAGTATTGCTGTGCTTCAGAGCTGGGGAAAGCCCTTTGCACAGTTCCATGAAAGTGGCCTTGCACATTTGAAAGTTCTGCAGCCACGGCTCGTCAACCCACAGATGCATAACAATATGGTCCCACGATTCAGTGCTTATTTCCCGGGCCCAGAAGCAGTGCTCCACTATGTCAAGGTGATGCACAACAGTCGCCAGCATCTGCGAATTGCTCCGCTCCATGGCTTCCAGAAGGACTGTTTGCGATGGCATCACATTGTTCTGTGTGGTTCGGCTAAGCAAATACTGTAGGATAAGACGTGAGGTGTTTGTAATGCTCACAACAACAGTGTACTGCTAAGCGGGGACCATGCTTACCGTGCTATGGCATCTGCGCGGGTAACCCAGGCTTAGAAAAAAAGGCATGAAAAAGGCTTGGTTTGTTTGCCATTGACTTCAGGAAGTGAGTGAGGGAGGTGCATCATGGGAGGCTAATCCCATGTTCCCATAACCACCTGCACAAATGTTTTGGTCCCATGAGGCATTGCAAGCCCAACTCATCATTCCACTCAGTTCCATGCACTGTGGGATAGATACACACAGAGCAGCGCTCTGTGAGTCGATGCAAGCCCTGCTAGTGAGGATGCACTCCGCTGACATAATGTGTATAGTGCGGACATGCAGAATTGATTTGCTTAAATCGGGGAGTCAGTGTTGACTTAAATAAAATTTACCTAAATTATAGTTTAGACATACCCTTAGAATGAATCAGGTAGAACAGAGACTTGAGCCTGACTCTCCAAAGTCCCAAGTGAATACCTTAATCCCTAGGCAATCCTTCTCTCTGTTCCACTTTGTAGAAATACTTAAATGTTCACAGAGCCAGAGAAAATGATTATATGGCCAGAACACTCACCTGGGTTAGGGGTGAACTACATTCAAGACCCTGCTCTGAATCAGGGAGAGCAGGGACTTGAATGTAGGTCTCCCACATCCCAGGTGAGTGCCCGAAACATTGAGCTATTGGCTATTCTAGGGTAGGGTACTCTTTCACAGGGAACATTTCACTGGTTGAGAGAGAAAGTTTTGTGCAAACCAATACATTTCTATTGAAACATTTCAGTTTCAATAAATTGGCATTTTCTGCCCTCCCCTCCCACAAAAAAGTGTAATTGAAAAATTCCCAACCAATTCTACTGTTAATGCACTGATGGCTTGTCATCATGTAATTTAAGAAATATATAGTAGTTGAAGTTCAGTAAAAATAATGCTGTGTGCTTCAGACCTCAGTTGAGCAAGATACTAACACAAAAGTCGTCCTATCAAAGTCATTTATTCCCATGCTTAAAAATAGTCACATGATTAAGTCACATGCGGAATCAGTATGTTACACAGCACTTTTCATTAGAGGAGCTTCAAGGTCTTCAGAAAGCAGAACAATATCCTCCTTTTAGAGATAGAGAAAACGAGGCATAGAGTGTAAGTGACTTACCCATAGTCACACAACAAGTGAGGGCAAGACTGAGAAGAGCTCCATTCCCTTGCTGTAATCACTGGACCACACTCCCTCTTTGAGATAGTTTTAGACAAATCTTGTAGAAAATGGTGACATAAGTATACTGACTGATAACACACACTGGGAATCTCCTTTTGAAGTGAATCTCCTTTATTAACCTATTGGTAAAAAAAAAAAGGTCTCTGCTCCGGTCAGTCGTTTAAGAATTAACGTCTCCAGATAGCCTTAAACTGCATAATAAAAGACAGGCAAAGGGCATCAAAATAGGGTAAAATGCCTTGAAAATTGAACACTGTAAATTATGTTTACTACAGCAACAAAAAGCCTGGAGTTTATAAAAACAGCTGTGCTGGTCAAGTATTGGCTAATCACTCCTCCAGAGGGGAGAAAAATAACTCTGAGAGAGCATTTTCTCCTCAGTCTCTCCCTTGGGCAAAACATCAGCATGTAAGTGAAATCCACTAGTTTATGGACTTGTTCTAAACTAAAAACAAGGAAAGCAGAGCAAAAACACCTTCAACTCAACAGCAGCTGAAACTGGAAATATTGCATATGCCACATGAGTTAAAAAAAAGAAGAGAAAGTTGAGTAGATGGGAATTGCTGAGGAGAAAGGAAGCAGTGAAATTCCAGAATGCTAGGGGAAAGGAAGTGACAACTCAGAAGCTACTGTGAGATGAAGTATGACAGAACAGTTTGGGTCTAATAAATCTGCAAAAATGGGTAAGACAAGTTAAGCAAAAGAAAGCTAAGCTCACGGAAACTGCAGATGCAAAGAGAAACAAATGGGATTCAAAGTCACTTAAGGAAACTAAGTCTAATGAGATGACCTAAAGTAGTGGACCTCAAACTTCCGGTTCAAGAAAATATTTAAACATGAATCTTTTAAATTTATTCACTTAGTAATTTTAATTAAAGTGCCTTGCCCCTCCTCTCCTTGTACACACATGCTGGGGTTACTCTAGTCAGCTCAGTGCGGACTGGGATTTTTCCCCAGAAGAACAGTCCAAAGAGTATCCTCCCTTGGGAAAAAAAAAATTGTGCAATAGTATGGGGAGGACGAAAGAGTCATATTAAATTTTAGAGATAAAGTTAACACTTGTAGCGACAGCAGCAACCAGAGAAAAGGATGACATCCACCAGAGGCTGAGAAATTTACATATTCACAAGAATTTACTGTATGCAAGAGACTTTACATAATTAATTCTTTTAAATGCCAATATATTATAACAGACATCTTACTAGCCCGCTTGTTCATTTTCTCATCCTTCTTGCTATGCTACTCCCTCATTCTATTTTTTTCTATTGTATATCTTGTATTGTTTTTCCCCTCCTTTCAGTGTCTGTCATCTCATTTTTTCCTTTAATCTTTCTCATTACCCTTTCTTTTTCTTCTGTACCCTTCTTGGCACAAAAGGAGAGGCTAATATATGGCCCTAAATGCTGAAAAGGCTATAATGGCTATATTATCTGTGAACATATTGTAGTAAACTCAATTTCGAGTTCTTTCTGCCTGAGGCTACTTTATATATCACACTCTGAAAAGTCTTAGAACCATGAGATTACAAATTTAAGATTGCAGTAAGAATAGGTCAAGTTTTCACCACATTACGTGCTTATTGTAATCTTTTCTTCAAAGAAATGAATCTGTGTTGTGCCATTTTCTTTTCCCTTTGAAATTTTGGTCACTAAAATAAAATATCAACATTTTAAATGTTGCAATCTGTGAAAGGTGCTTTATTACTTCAGCCTTTTCAATAGTTCGTATTTTGATTTTCCTGCCCTTCCACTGCACACACACTTTACAGCAGGGGTCTCAAAGTCCCGGCCCACAAACCTCCCCAATGTGGCCCGCGGGGGTCCAGCAACTGCAGCCCCGGGGCGGGGCTGTGCCTCCACATGCTGCCACTACACCAAGCACTCCTGTGGCCAATGGGAAGCTGTGGGTGCAGTGCTTGGGGGCAGCAGCGCACGGAGGCCCCCTGTTAGGATATAGATATTCAGGCCTGTCTGTAAAGGCCTATTCTCTAAGAATTTAGGTGTATTCTTATCACTTGGCTAATTATAGAGGTATAAAAAAAAGAATCAAAATCACTGTCTGCCGGTGTAAGGGCCTTCTCTTACTGTGACAGTCCTGAGGCCCTGTGCTTAGGCTAAGGCCTTTGGCTAAGCAGCAGAGGCAGCCATAAACTGGGAAGCGACCGGTCACATCCTCATATTCCAAACTAGTCACATTGAAAGAAGGTGCTATTGGGCTGTTAGGAATACAGTCCTGTCCTGATAATGCCTATTGCCTCCAGAGAAAGGGAAGTGCCTAGAAGATGTAAAAGGAAAACTTAGTTTGATAGCATCCTGTCTGGCAAGAACTCACTTATTGATAGCTGGGATGTGAAATCCTCATTTCTGTGTTGTTCTATCATTGTAGTCCCCATTCCCTATTGTTTGTCTGTCTAATCTCTGTCTGGCTCTGTGATTGTTTCTGTCTGCTGTATAATTAATGTTGCTGGGTGTAAACTAATTAAGGTGGTGGGATATAATTGGTTAAATAATCTTGTTACAATATGTTAGGATTGCTTAGTTAAATTTCAGTAAAATGATTGGTTAAGCAGAGCTCAAGTTTTACTATATTGTCTGCAGTCAATCAGGACATGTAACGGGGAGAAATGGGAACAGGGAATGGGGATGGGGAAATTGGAATCATGTTTTGCTAAGGGGGGAATGGGAACAGGGACATAGGTAAGGCTCTGTAGTGTCAGAGCTGGGAAGGGGGACGCTAAGGAAGGAAACTGGAATCATGCTTGCTGGAAGTTCACCTCAATAAACATTGAATTGTTTGCACCTTTGGACTTCGGGTATTGTTGCTCTCTGTTCATGCGAGAAGGACCAGGGAAGTAAGTGGGTGAAGAAATAAGCCCCCTAACAATCCCCGTCCCATCCTGACTTGGAGCCCCAGGTAAGCGCCACACCCCTCAACCCCCTCCCAGAGCCTGCATCCCCTCCCCCTTCTCACACACCCCCTCCTGCCCCCGAACTCCCTCCCAGAGCCTGCACCCCTCCCTCCTCCCCCTCGTCCTGCACCCCCAGCTCAGAGCTTGCACCCAGCACCCAAACTCCATTCCAGAGCCTGCACTCCAGACCTCCTCCCCCACCCAAACTCCCTCCCAGAGCCTCAGGCAGGTGGGGGGCAGAGTTTGGGGGGTGGGTGGGTTCTAGGCCGCATGTGTTTCCCACTGGGAGGATTTGAGGACTGGCATTGGCCCTAAGGTAAATTGAGTTTGAGACCCCTGCTTTACAGGCTCACTGAACTGTGGAGAAAAGCACAGTGGCCAGCACAAAACAATGAAGATCAAAGATTTAAAAAATCAAAAGTTTCAAAGCCCGCTTTCTTATTTAACATAAGTTTTGAGATTACTAATTTTCTCAGAGGTCATTCCTTGTTAGAGAGTATAATGGACAGAAAAAGAGACTCAACATGATTCAATGGTCTTCTAAATATTATTAGAAGAACGAGAAGCAGTTCAAGGATAGAGCGCAGACTCAATCTGTCTGCTGAATTACAACAATTGGGCAACACTGAATGCAAGAACTCCGCTCTACTGAATTACTGAACAAAACTGGGGATGCATTACTATGTAAACTTTTCTGATAATCTTTTAAATCACTGTGTATACCTGCTGAACATAACATTGTAGATTATAAATTAGTCTCACCAATTCAAAACTATTCTGTTCTCCCTTTATATACAGAAGTTTGATTGCTGTCAATAGGTGATCTGTGCATCCTGAGGGGAAAAGTAGACTAGTACTACTTACACATCTGGTGTAAATCTGCATTGCTCCGTGGAAGCCAAAGGAGCTACACAGAATTATGCCAGCTGAGGATCTGGTCGAGGGAAACAAAGACAGATGTTATTGATTCATCCAATGTCACAGAAAAATCCATGGAAAAGTGGGGAACAGAAGTCAGGTCTCTTGATTGCTATGCCCCTTTCTGCTCTAACCATTACGAAATGCTGCCTCAGGTTTCCTTCAGTAATTAACCCATAACAAGCCAAACAAATGGTAGGAGGCTATGGAGAGGTATCAGAAGGGAAAAAAATAGCAAGCCAGGTTCCAGGATTCTCCCTGATATTTTGGAATATCAGGAGCAACATCCTACATTTTAGAAGTGGAATCATAATTCAGTGGGTGAGTTTCTTATGTGGTCCTGCAGATATCAGTCCTTGGTCCTACACTTAATATTTTTTTCTCAATGACCTGGAAGAAAACATAAACTAATCACTGATAAAGTTTGTAGAGGACATAAAACTGGGGGGAAAGGGGTGTGGTAAATAGTGCAAGTCACTGACATATAGCGATCTGGATCATTCGGTAAACTGGGTGCAAGCAAACAATGTGTTTTTAATAAGGCTAAAGGGAAATGTACACATCTAGGAACAAAGAATGTAGTCCATGAATATGTTCCTGAATTAGGGATAAAATCCATTCCTGTGGCAACCACAAGACTAGGCCCTAGGCTCCGCGTAAGTCCTATTTTAAAAGCTCTAGTGGGACTGAAGTGGTGCATGGGCCTTGTGCTGCATCTCTGCACAGGGATGAATGTCACCCTATTTGATCAGTTCTACAGCTGGTCAAATACAACTCTGCAATTATTCATAGTACATTCTATCTTTTCCACCTATCAGTCACTAGCTGGGAAATTCTTACATGCCCCACCCCACCCTTATTTGATCTGTTCTACAAGTTTCCTTTATCATCTTTTCTACCTACCTTCAGTCTAAGGTACCGATCATCAGTGTATTCAGTGGATACTCTCTGTGCAGCTTTGCTCTGTTTTGTATATTCATGTGAACTGTCTTTTCTTTAAAACATAAAGAGAAAGTTTTCATAGCTATTTTCTGCAGCCAGATTAGTCACCAGGAATACAAGGGTGATGAACAAGAATACAAGCAACAGCAGGCTTTAATGTTGCAGCTGCCGGCATCTTTTAGATTTTCCTTTTATGAAATATATGATGATTATAAGAACGGGAGAAATGAGCGCTGTGTCCTCAGTCACCAACTGTGCTTGACAAACAGAAAGCAAGCAGTGCTTAAACTGGAGAGCTATGTATTTTATATGTTTACAAAATTCTTGACTTGTTTTTCATGTAATTGCCTCTCTTGATCATGCAGTTTGACACATTCAGATAGCAAGAGTAAAGCAGACACTCCTATTGCAGCTGATTTAATTATTTATATTTTATTTCATTTATGATGGATTCAGGCATTAGTTCATTTTTTCTTTAATGACTACACCATCCATCAGTGAAAACTGAAATAACCACTTTTGATCCACTGCTGTTTTAGGCCTCTATCCTGTGTTAACATGGAGATATTTCAGAGAAAGCAGGGTAGAATGTGCCACATACTCTGTAGTCCTATGCATTATGATTCTCTCCAAGTGCAGTTGGACATCAGTTTTACCTATAACTTTCTGAAGTTATTAAAACTAAAATACATTAGCAAACAGAGGGTTAGATTCAGCCCGGTTTATTCACACCAAGTAGAATTTTACTCCATGTGTAATCGATTTACTCACTGTGGGAAAGGGTACTGGGATGTGATAGCAGGGATATTACATAAGATCAACCAAATCTTTAACAAAAATGAAGTTACGAATGTTTTGTTCATAAAGAATACTGGGTTGGATTCAGTAGTCTGTTTTGGCCCTTTGCTCTACTCAGCTACTGAGACAGCATGAAGTGGCTGTCTTCTGGCTGTAGCTGGGCAGAAGTATATTTCCTTCATGTTAATGAACTTTGCACTGGTGTAAAGCTGATGGAGACAAATCCCCAGACACCAGTTTCCCCACCATGACCACCACCACCACTGCAGAGAATGTGAGGACTCATGTCTGAAGCATTCTGGAGGCAAGGAGAAATGGAAAGGGAAGATGGCAGAGAACAGCTCCTCTATGCCCAAGTCTCTACTGGCATTAAAGGTCCCTGAGGGACCTTATGCCAATAGTTTAAGTCTGACCTGCTCTTCAGGAGCATCTGTAAGTTATACTGGGGCTGGGCACTGAAGATTCTAGCAACAGTGTAGAATCAGGGAGCGCTAAAGCACATTTGAAAAGCTGGCCACTTAGTTGTTATATTTATGGGCCTTAGACACAAGTCATATTTCAAATGTTATTGCCTATGATAAGTGAGATACTACCATATCCCTACAATTGTTCTATGTCCCAGCCAACTCTGGAACCCCAAAACCTTCAAATAATTTTAATGAAGAGTAATTTAGCTTTGCCAATAATCCTGAATTTCATGAGACTCCCCCAGATTGGACAAATATATCCTCAATCCCTCAAGTCTTGCTTGCTGAACAATCAGTAGGATGCCAAATTATTTGGGGATTTATAATGTAACTATTAGAGAGCAGAAAATAAGGTTTTTTTTTCCTCATGGAGTATTTCAACAACGTATTTTTAAAATAGTTTTTTAATCAAAACCTTTTCACTTTTTCAATGAAAAGATTTTTTTTTTTCCCACAGAAACCAGACAGATTTTGTGAAAAATTGTGGTTACTGAAAAATCCAATTTTGCACCAAAAAAACAATTTTAATGAAAAGTTTCCTACCAGAACTATAGATGTGTTATTACATTTCTTCAATATGGGCCTAATGGTTAACATTGCTGGAAACATTGCCATTGACTGCTTTGGGAGCAGAATTAGGTTCCTTGTGCATTTAGGGTAACCACCTCTATTAGTTCAGATTAAGTACAGTTCTGCCACCCTTTAGTTATACAGGAAGGATAACAACATTTCATTATCCCTGCATCCAAGACTTAAGGGTATTTTAGCCCCAAACAGCCAAAATTTATCACTTTGGCAAAGCATGTATGTCTGCTGATTATCTAGGAAATGTAGGTGTGACAATGCAAATATGGTCTGCTCTTGAGATCCTTCCCCCCATTTCATAAATAGATGGCAGGGAGAGCTAGTTGATACCAATAGCTTACATACTGTAAAAAGAAAAGGAGTACTTGTGGCACCTTAGAGACTAACCAATTTATTTGAGCATGAGCTTTCGTGAGCTACAGCTCACTTCATCCGATGAATGAATGCATCCGATGAAGTGAGCTGTAGCTCACGAAAGCTCATGCTCAAATAAATTGGTTAGTCTCTAAGGTGCCACAAGTACTCCTTTTCTTTTTGTGAATATAGACTAACACGGCTGTTACTCTGAAACCTTACATATTGTAATACACTGCTTTAGGGGTGTCGTACTTTCACATCACAAGGAAAATTATTAAGTCATTACTTTTCACACCTCTACTTTTGTCAACAAGAATAAATTATTTTTCCTTTGAATCAGAATGCCTTACGGATATATGAGAAAGTGAGACCTCTCAGCAAGATTTTTTTTTAAACACATTCATTACTGACCATGCAGCACTGGCATTTAATACCCTGAATCCAGATTCTAGGTTAATCAGAGTCTTCAGTAGCTGGAGTTCACTTTGAAAGGCATAATAGAGAAAATAAAAGCCTAAATATGGTACAAATTGACCTGTGCAGAGCTTCAGTCTTAAGGGCAGTTTTCCTGTCACTAACACAGCTGAGGGCAAAGATATGCAACATTCTGTTCTGTCTGAACATACTTTGAAATATTGCTTGAACAGCAAAAAAGTGCTAAAGGTTATAGATATAATGAAACTATCTGAGAAGCAATGAACAAGAGTGAATTGACAAAACTAGTATAGTTGTTTATGTCTTAGAGGAAATATTATAGTGGGTGGTTCCAATTCACCCTATAGGTAATTAATATCTTCTATAGACTAGAATATCCTGAAGTAACAGAATATTTTATTTTTATTGTTTTGTTGTTTTTTAAACTAACACAGCAGAGGTGATAGATATGTACTAGCTGCTATGACACATACTGTGGCTAATTCTGACATTATATGTATGCCGTGTGGCTTACCTGCTCAACAGTCAGTTACAGCTGTGTCTCCGTGTCCCTTCTCTCCGAGCTCCACTTTCCAGTTGTTTCTGTATTGCAAGCAATTCGGTGAAGTTCGGCATTACAGCCAAATCAATATTGCTCCCATTTAGGGCAAACAAACTCCCAGAGTCAAAATAAATAGCATGTACACACACACCCTTCAAACCAAAAACTATTTCTTGCCATTTCCTTCCATTAGGGTCTGTCTGACTTCTATCCTTTCCAGGGTATAATAATATTTCATCCTCAGGCAACTGCTTCCTTTCCAAATCCTTCCCTTTGTATGCTTTTATTTTCTTTTTTTTTTTTTAAACACAGCAACACCAAGGAGTGCCATAGGGGATCCCAGACATTCCCTCTACACCAGGGTTCATGCTTAGGGCCCTGTACTATAGGCAGCTGTCAACTCTCAGTCTCCAAACATGCCTACTTCTTTGCTTCTTCCTTCTTCTGACTCTCTTTAGGACCTTCTCCCTAGCCTCTTCCCTACATTCTCCACCATACTTTTTTGTGGGTTCTAGTCTCAGCTCCCAGTCCACACAGACTCGAACTGGTCTCTGTTCAGACTCTCAGCCCCTTCAGATTGTTGCCAACAAGTTGCAACATCTGCTTTCATACCTTTTTCCTGGATTTCTCACTATTTTGAGCCACAGCCACCCTCTTTATATTCCCCAGCAGGCCTCACTTCCATCCTGGAGTTGCATGACCCTGCAGGGACTACAATTCCCAAAATAACTGGTTTTTAAAGGGACAGAACATGGAGGTGGGTTGCACTGGCCCAGGTTAACCCTTAAAAGGGCCGTCCCATGCTGTGACGGCACAGCTTGGCATTAAACTTCTGAATCTTTAAATAGTTGTTATAGGCCATGTTCTGATGTTCTTACCAATTCAAAATTGTGCTTGGAGTCAATGGGAGTTTTGGCTGAATAAGGCATGAGTGAAAAAACAAGTAAACATCTCAGAATTTGACTCTATATAAATACATTGTACTGGCACTCTTGAGAAAATAGGTTCCCATAGCTGAACATGGCTGGGTACTGTGGCAAATTGCTGGCACGATTTTGATGGGTCCCACACTTCCTCCTCTTGTGTGGGGAGTTCAGGGTGCAATTTCCTGCCCCTGAACCAGGGTATCTACTGTCCCACTAGTAACCCAGAGAAGGGTAGTGGAGAGGGAAGGACCTGGGCCCGCCCTCTACTCCAGGTCCCAGCCCAGGGGCCCTAGGGATAGTGGCAAACCACTTGAACTAGTGCTTCCTTCCCCTGGGCTACTTCCCTCTCCTGCTCTTCAGCTTGTGGGGCTTCCTGCCCTCACTCTGCACAAGCCGGATGTCTCTTTACCTCGGGTCTTGGTCTTCTAGCCAGCCACGGCATTTCTCCTCTACTTTAACTCCTTCAAGCTGCTCTCTGCTCCAACTCCAAACCACTCTGCTCCAACTCCTCCCCCTGTACGTTGGTAAATTCTGGCTCCTTCTCAGGCTCAGGTTGGCCACCCCTGCCCTATTATCACAACCTGGAAATTTTTGGTCACAGAATAAAGGATGATAGGTCACCACTCCTGTGAATATACTGAGAAGGGATATGGTATGGAAGAGGAGGGTGGCCATCCTAATCAGTGACCCCCCTAAATGTAATGAGCGGGTCATCTTTCTACCCCTCAAGATCTAGAAGGCTGAAAAGGATCATCCAGCTGATGTGTGTAAAGGGACCACCCTGGGTCCATTGGAAGGGAATAGAGTACTGAAAATGACAGGAAATAAACGGCCAATTGCACTTTGAACCAAGTTAATGTTATTAGATTTTTTTTCAGTTTTGTTTGGATTTTGCGGGGGGTAATAGTGAACTATTACCAAAATATTGTGTGTGGGGGGAGAGAGAGTGTGTGTGTGTGTGAGAGAGAGAGAGAAAGTGCTAATTAAAGAAAAAATTTCAAAGAGTTACTGTAACTTTTACAGGTATGTAACCATGATGTATTTTTAAAAAGAATAATTGATGCAACTGGATTAAGTGACTACATTTCACACACTTCCTGCCCAAATTAATGCTTGAAGTAAATATATACTTTTTTATTTCTTGTGCATAAAAAACCATGATTCAGCCATGGCATAGCTCATGTCACTACGAGGATTTCAAATCCACTCCGCCATGCCAGAAATAGATGGTTCAATGAAATTAAATGACATGCTCTGAGATTTTAACATTTTGCTCTTCCCTAAAAATAAACTACAATTAAACAACGGTATAGCAAACACAACTAAAATTAACCTTCTTAAAATGTAAACAGATGGAACAAAATGGGGTGGGGGGAGGATTTAGATGCCCTCCAAAATAAAAATAAAATTGTGAAAGAGAATGAAAGGTAATACTAAATAAAGGGCACAACAGTGGTCATTCTAAAAATATCTTTACCAATATAGCTCCCAAGATGCCTTGGCAAGACAGTTCTTTATAAATATTATTATTATTGCTCTAGTATAGCAACTTCCTGTTTGTCATCTGTTTCTAAAGGTCACTCGGTAATACTCCCCTAAAAGAAAGATTGGGAATATTTATTTGTAAATAAATATATTCCAGGATAATTTTAATGACACTTAACTATCCATCGATGTGAAATCACCCCTAACAACTGCACTGTTTCTTCATAGTGTAATTACAGTACAAGATAAAGGTCCCATACGTACAATTTACCCCTAAGTAAATAATAGGCTATGTTGATAATTACAAACACTGCTGAGCTAACAAAATTAAAATGTTTTTTTTCTCAAATTTCCCTTATAATCTTCCCTGTAGGCAGTTCCTCTATTATATATGAGCTGTATAGAAGCCTGAAGCAATTGTCATAATGCTGAACTATTGGTTTGAATTGCTCCTACTGCCAGCAGCAAACAAAAAATTATCACATTTGTGGATACACAAGTTGTCAATTCATTTTTCAATCTAAACATTATATATAGCGAGGTGCAAAGAGTTACTCCAGTTTTGGTTTGTAAATTAGTTCCTAGGTAGCTTTGAGTCCAGGAACTACAATTCCCAGGATGCACCGGGCGGTGGGTGGAAAGAGAGAAGAAAGAAGGAAAGGAAAGGGAAAAGTGAGCTCTGTGAAAGAGTGAGAGGGATGAACCTTACCTTTGCTGTTATCAAACTTCCTGAGCCTTCCTCAGAAGGCTTAGGGGCAAAACAAACTGGCAATCAGCATAAAAGAATCCTGATTTTTTGTTTATTGCCAGTGACTTGTCCATGACTTTTACTAAAAATACCCATGATTAAATCGTAGCCTTATTTATAGCACATATTTGTCCTGCAAATGGGGAAGGGGTAAAGGTCACAAAGATTAAAAAGCTTTTTTCCAGGTGTAATCTGATTTTTACTCAACCTCAGAATAAACATAAAGTAGGGGTTGAGTGAGGGAGGAGAAGAAATAGTGGAATACTCACCCAGTCAGATCAGCCTCACTTCCCAGCCCTTATCCTCTGAGGAAAGCTCCTTGCAATAGGAGAACAGGGCCACCAGTCCTCCTTGAGTGGGCCCCAGGCTAACAATCCAAGCACAGAGAAGAATGTACCTCTGCTCCATTACCCCCTGCTGCTGGCTTCTTTCTTCCCTTCTCCCTGTGTGCATGTGGTCATTAAAATAAGTCTGGTGTTTCCGGCTCTTGAAGCCTCCCTTTTGATCTCCAAAAGGCCAGTGCATCTTATTTCATGTCCAGTCCTGCAAAAATAGTCTCAACTGCACAAGTAGTTATTACTCAAGTGAGTGCTCCCAATCACTCCTCTTCAGGGATTACTGGGTGAGGCTCTATGGCCTGTTTTATGCAGGAGGTCAGACTAGATGATCTATTAATCTGCTCCATGAGTAAGGATTATTGACATAATGTTCCATGTGCCTTAAGTGAGAAAGATAGAAGGTTCTATCAACAGGGGGTGGTGGTGTTAATAGAATTCATAACTATTACTAATGTGCTTCTTGCCAAGTGCCTGCCAGATGGCTTTTTAGGGAAATAGTGCATGATACTGACAATCAAGGGAAGGAGAATTAAGCATAAATGGAGATATTATTTCTGATTCAGAAAAGCGATGCACACAATAGTATAATATGTTACAGAGTTGCCAACTCTTATTAAGAGTCTCATGATATTTGGGGGCTTTCTTAAAGCTCCAGCTCCTGAGATCATGTGATTATGTAAGAATCTCAGATCTCTCTCTCTCTCATACAAAGGACATTTCTAGCCCTCAGAATTGCAAAGGAAATCTTGCAAACGTGAACCCTAAAGCCTCAAAAAAGCCAGAAGTCACATACCAAGAACCTACAATTAATTTTAAAAATATTATTTTATGCTTTTTAACCCAATCTCATTATTTTGGATGGGGCTGACTCATGGTTTTTGAATGCTTGGCGTTAGCAAGACTGTTATTTAGTATTATTTGATATTCATGGCTGGGTAACACACACACACACACACACACACACATATGGTTCCTAGATTCCTATTTTACCAGTATTACTACAAATGTTAGGTGATCATTATTATTGTGAATCAAGATCTGACCACCAAAAATTGAAAGTTTCAGGATGAATTACACCAAACTATTTTTAACCTGGATAATACTTATCCAAAAATATGCACTTTACACACTTTAAAATCTAATAATATTTATAAGTTCAAAGGACATAGTATGGAAATAAGTAAAAAAGCAAATGTACATTGACTAACATTTCTCCACAGAAATAGTGTGTGTTTGATTTACAAATTTCAATAAATACCCCTTAATACGAATTATTGAAATTGATGGTAATTTAAAACAGCAATGTATATAGAAATTGCATCTCTAAAAGGTCCTTCATGGAAATATTTGCTCAGTCATTATTCTGTGTCAGGAGCACACACCTGAAAAAACACATTTTGTTTGACTGCTGTGCCCTGAATACACATACTGTAGAACAAAACTCTAGTGGTTTAGTAATAACTTGTCAGAGGTAAAAAAGTATCTGTGGGTAATATTTTAATGTCTTCCTTCCTTTCTCTCTTACACTGGATAAATTATTCATTTGTCATTTATTATGCATATTTTATGGCAGTTTTTAAAGAATTAATTATTTTATGCAACTGAAATGTACATACTAGATTTAGGTGAAGTTTTTGCATAATGCCATTTTAAGCAGTGTCATGTGAAATATTGCAATAAGCTATTGACCGTGTCTAAGAAAAGGTTATAGAAGAGTATTTTAGTACCGGTACTTGTTCTGTTATGGGGACTTTTAACAGATTTAAGAAAATGATTATAAGTCATCCCACAAGCTATTGTTCAGGGAAGATCCCCACACTCATTTGAAACCCCACTGATTTCAGTGGGGCGTAGTGCAGTCTTGAGGATCCACCTTGCAGGATCATAGCTTTGATTGCATAGTGACTGTGCATGGTTTCACCCCACATATCTATTGTAACATGCTGCATAAGTATTGGTTGATCACAGAATGACTATGAGCTGCCAATGTGATATGGCCATGAAAAAAGCTAATGCAGTCTTGGGATGCATCAGGCGAGGTATTTCCAGTAGAGATAAGGAGGTGTTAGTACCGTTATACAAGGCACTGGTGAGACCTCATCTGGAATATTGTGTGCAGTTCTGGTCTCCCATGTTTAAGAAGGATGAATTCAAACTGGAACAGGCACAGAGAAGGGCTACTAGGATGATCCGAGGAATGGAAAACCTGTCTTATGAAAGGAGACTCAAGGAGCTTGGTTTGTTTAGCCTAACCAAAAGAAGGTTGAGAGGAGATATGACTGCTATCTATAAATATATCAGAGGGATAAATACCAGAGAGGGAGAAGAATTATTTAAGCTCAGTACCAATGTGGACACAAGAACAAATGGATATAAACTGGCCATCAGGAAATTTAGAATTGAAATTAGATGAAAGTTTCTAACCATCAGAGAAGTGAAGTTCTGGAACAGCCTTCCAAGGGAAGCAGTGGGGGCAAAAGACATATTTGGCTTCAGGACAAAGCTTGATAAGTTTATGGAGGAGATGATATGGTGGGATAGCCTAATTTTGGCAATTAATTGATCTTTGACTACTAGTGGTAGATATGCCCAATGGCCTGTGATGGGATGTTAGATGGGGTGGAATCTGAGTTACTACAGAGAATTCTTTCCTGGGTGTCTGGCTGGTGAGTCTTTCCCACATACTCAGGGTTTAGCTGATCGCCATATTTGGGGTCAGGAAGGAATTTTCCTCCAGGGCAGATTGGAAGAGGCCCTGGGGGTTTTTCACCTTCCTCTGCAGTGTCACTTGCTGGAGGATTTTCTGCACCTTGAAGTCTTTAAACCACGATTTGAGGACTTCAATAGCTGAGAAATAAATTAGGGGTTTGTTACAGGAGTTGGTGGATGAGATTCTGTGGTCTGCATTGTGCAGGAGGTTACACTAGACGATCATAATGATCTTAAAGTCTATGATTCTATAAGGCTGAATCCTCTGCAATAGGGTGAACTTTATATGTAATACACAACGGACTAAGCAGGGTAAGAGCTTTACACCTGGAACTGTATGAAATATTCACTGTGAAAGCTGAATCCATGTGAAACTTGCCTGATTTGGGGTTTAGTTGCACAGGTAAGACTCAAGACTTTGGAACTGTTTACTATGTGTCACAGATTTCACTGAACCCAGATCTGAGTGATTTATCCACATGACCATCCTTCCTTTTTGAGAGAATGTCAGCTGGGTTATATTGCATTTTAACTATTTGACAATATTTCTTTACCAAGTCAAATCAATCTGCCAAATATTAAAACTAAGGCCAAACAACATTAAAGAGGGGCGTGAACTAAACCCCCGTATCTTGACACTCCGATACATAGAAGAAATTAGGATGTGATCCCTATCTTCATAATATTGATACAGAAAAATCCTGTACTGCTTCAATGGCATGAACTAGATAACCCAACAGGTCTTCTCCTGACTGATCTATGATTTTTATTTAGTGGACATGATTACTGTTCTACCCTGTAAACCTTGGTCATGTAATATATATCCTTAGTAGAAATGTGTATGTTAAGATGACATGGCTACCATGATTGAGGGGAGGGAAGAGACAATAAAGAATGTAAATTGACAAGAAATACTTTGCAAATTAAGGGCCCCATTGAAGCCAGTGGCTAGACTTCTGTCAGGTTCAATGGGTAGAGGATTGGGACCTTGGGAACAAAATATTTCTGAATTAATGAGAAACTAAAGTTGTTCTATACCCCTGTCACACCAAATGAAAGTATAATACTCATTTGCTGTAATACAGCTAAGCATCCTTACTGGCAGCAGAATTGTTGTAGTAATTAGTAGTAACACCAGAATTTCCACACTTTAAGTG